GGAAGGGGAGTCGCAGGGAACGTCCCTGTCCCCGTAGAGGTGCCGGAGGCCCTCCAGCCCCTGAGCTGGGACTCTCGACCTGCTTGGCTCCTCCCCGGAGGTCTCCCGTCTCTCCAGCGCGACCTGCAGGACCCAACCGAGGGTCCTCCCCACACGTGGGGAGGGGATGTGGGGACGGGACCACCACCGCAGAGATGCCCGTTCGGCCTCGCTGCCCAGGCTGTCCTCCAGGATGTGGGGACCAATGTTTAGTTACAGCCGCTCCGTTGCCGGGCAGGGGCTGCGAGGGCAGGATTTTCCTTTCAGAAGGAAGGAATCCCTTTCCGTTCCTACGAGGAGGGCGGGCTCGTCCCACAGTCCTGTCCATCAAAAGCTGTTCCTGGAGACTGTTCTCTGCCTTTCTGCAACCGGCACCGTTTCCTGGTCGTCCAAGCGCTTGGTCCTACTGGCTTCCCCTTATCGTCCCCATGGTTTGGGACCTCCAAGAGAAACAAAGCCGGGCACCAGGAGGCTGCTGCCGTGGGAGTGGGGCCTGTCCGTGTGGCTGCACCAGGATGGGCGGGATGGGATGAGATGGGATAGGATGAACAGGTTGGATAGATGGGCTGGGATGGGACAGGACGGGATGTTTGGGATGGAGGGGATGGATGAGATGGGATGGGCTGGGACGAGATGGGACAGATGGGACAGGACAGGATGGATGGGATGGGATGGTGCAGAGGGGAGGGGATGGGAAAAGGCAGAACAGGATGAATGGAATGGAATGGAGCAAATGGGATGGGATAGGATGGGACAGATGGGACAGGGCAGGACAGATGGGAAGGACAGGATGGGATGGACGTGAGGGGACGCGATGGGATGGGATGGGAGGGTATGAATGAGATGGATGGGACAGGATGGGGCAGATGGGAGGGTATGGATGAGACAGGAGACAGGATGGGATGGATGGGATGGGATGGATGGGAGGGGACAGGTGGGACAGGATGGGATGGATGGGATGGATGGGAGGGGATGGGATGGACAGGGTGGGACAGATGGGATAGGACAGGACAGATGGGATGGACAGGATGGGATGGGATGGATGAGAGGCTATGGGAGGGGATGGGATGGGAGGGATGCGATGGGATGGGATGGGACGGGAGGGGATAGGATGGGTTCACCAGAGGGAAATCATGCTTGACCAACCTGATAGCCTTCTCTGAGGGGACAGCTGGCTGGGTAGAGGAGGGGAGAGCA